CTTGCAAGCCCGTCAGCCCCAACGCTCGCCCTGCTCACGCGTGTGCCACCTGTGTGTTCGGATACTTTTGCTCCTGGAAGGGCGGCGGCGGCGTTCCTCCCTGCGCCTGCTGAGGATACTGTGCGTACTGCCCCTGCTGCGGCTGTCCGTATTGCTGCTGCGGCTGCGGCTGTCCGTACTGCTGTTGCTGTTGCTGCTGCTGCTGCTGCTGCTGCGGCGGCGGCGGCGCGTAGACCTGGCCGTAGTACGGCCCCGGCGGGTATCCCTGCTGTTGCTGCTGCGGCACGACAACCGTCGTCTTGCGACCACCGCGGATCAGGCGGACGCAGCAGCAGGCCAGACAGCCGACGATCAGGATGCCAATGATGGCGATGACGACGACGATGGCGATGCTGGCGGCCAGGCCCACGCCGAACAGCGTGAAGGCGCCGGCCGCGGCGGAGGAGGAGGAGGAGGAGCCGCTGGAACTACCACCGTCGAGGGTCGGCGTCGTTGTCGAGTAGATGAGGTTGACGGCCGGGTGCAGGACGTAGGCCGTCGTGGCCGTGGGCCAGGCCGTGGTGCCGATCTGGGACTCCGAGTACCAAAAGTCCAGGTTGGCGGCCGAAACGGTGATCATGCCGCGCGCGGCGAGCGAGAAAACCTGGCCCGAGGTGACGGACTTGATGGCGTAGCAGTCCCAGACGCCCTCGCCGGACAGCCACGTCGCGGTGGGATAGTTGCTGCTCGGAGGACGCACCAGTCAGCACCAGTCACAGCATCAGAACCCCTCTGTCCACTTGCAGCAACGCAACAAAAAAGCAGACTCACCTCGGACAGCACGCGACCCTGAGCGTCGAGTACAGCGACGACGTGGCCGCCGTCGTGAAGCCGGTCGGGCAGCCCGGGGCCGACGTGAAGTAGAAGCTCTCCAAGGCCAGGTAGCCCGGCGGCATGCACTCGGCCGAGGTCATGGACTTGGAGGTGGTGAAGTGCGGCTGGTTGACCTGGGCGCCCGACGCGAGCGCGCGCGCGAGCGACGTGGCCGGGTACGCCGAGCAGCCGCTCTTGGTGTTGCAGGTGCCCGCGATGATGGTCGGCGTGTTGCCCGAGCACGACGCCGGCTGCGTCCACGGCGTCTGCAGGGGCGCGTACACCATGGCCCGCCGCGCAATCACCCCCCGCGCGCCCAGCGCCGCCGCCCTATCGGCATCTTGTGGCGATGTGGGCGTGTTGTGCGTCGGGGTCGGGGTCGGCGGTGAGATGGCCATGTCGCTGGCGTTGTCTGTTTGTCGTCGTTGCTTCTGCCCGCGAGGACTTGTGGCCGTCAATGAGGCTGTAAGGTGCTTCTTCTGCAGAGAAGGGTGGTGGTGGTAAAGATCAGTTCGTGTATCTCGGTGAACCACTAAAGATTTCCAGGAGGGGATGTCGGCAAAGGAAACGGGCCTAGGTTTTTTGCAATCTTTTACTTGTACACAATGGGAATAGCGCAGACATCAGCCCCGAGACGTGGTCTTGGCATGGCTTGATTCCAGGGATACCTGCGTTGGGCTGAACGCCTTTTCCGAAAAATAGCTCCTCCATGCTGGGGCTGAACTGGTTGAAAGGATTGATTGGTTTGAATTGGTGCGATGTTAATTGGCCCATTGCACTTGTAATTAGCCCTGGTGCTGGACATTTGAACTAGACAAGCCTCCAAGCACTGGACTCGAGGCAAAGTCGAGGATAGATGGGCCAATCTAAAGTGCCTTCGAGGGCTATGAGATGTTTATATCGGTCCTGGTGGGCCCGAAATTGCAATTCGTGACCACCAAATTACATATACACTGGCTATCTTTTTACGAATTGGAGCTTCGTTGTCACTTTGCTACGGCATTTGCTTAGCACCAGATACCAATTTATTTTTTAACGAATTGGAGCTTTGTTGTAACTTTGCTACGGCAAAAGGACGCAAAATATGAAGCTATTTGCTTTGCACCAGATACCAGCCCAAGGAAAAATAGCGGCCTTCGTGGGCACATGTAGCTTTATGGAATTCCGGCCCAGCTGCCAACAGACTCTCCTTTCCCAAGCCCTCCCCCATATCCCACCTGCTTTCTACATGGAGCGGCGGGGGCTGACGGACCTCTCATAAACCTCGGGGTCCCGCCTGCCCTCCGTGCCGTCGGCCCAGTCCTCCTCCTTCAGCCAGCTCTCGAGGTCCGACGTCTTCCTGCCGACGAGCCGGAAGCGGCCGGCGGCGCCCAGGTCGAGGTCGGCGGTGAGCCTCTCGTACATGGAGTCGGCGAACGCGATGGTGCCCCAGGTATCGGGCTGGATGTCGCCCGTGTCGGCCTCGCGGCCGCGGCAGCAAACGTGGTACTCTTCAAAGGCAGGCGCCTCTGATTCCGCAGCCAGCGCCGCCTCGGAAACCTCCTCGTCGCTGTCAATGATGATGGGGGCGTGTGCCTCTCCCTCCGCCGTGGCCGGCACCTCGGCAGCCGCTTCGTCGCTGTCGCTGTCGCTGCTGTCGCTGCTGTCGCTGCTGTCACTGCTGTCGCTGTCGATGGTGATGGGACTGGGCGCCTCTCTCTCGATGGTAGGCGCCTCGACGGCCTCCTCGTCGCTCTCGATAATGATGGGGCCCGGCGCCTCTTCGTCGCTGTCGATAACGATTGGGCTGGGCGCCTCTTCCTCCGCGATGATTGACATCTCATCGCTCTCTTCGTCGCTATCACTGTCGATAACGATGACCTCGGGCGCCTCTGCCTCGTCCATGGCGATCTCGGCATCCTCCTCGTTGAGCTCTACGATACCGGCGGCGCGTACCTCTCCGGCCGCGATGGCTTCGACCTCGACAACCTCCTCGTCGAGGTCAGTGATGACGGCAGCGGGGGTCTCTGCCTCGTCTCTGGGCATCGGCTCGGCAGCCTCGTCGTCCAGCTCGGCGGCGGGCTCTCCGGCCTCGCCGCCGCCCTCTTGTAGATCTCCGCGCCTCTCCCGGCGGCGGCGCCTGTCATCGAGCTGACCACTGTACCGCGAGATGCGATACTTTCTGGCCGAGATGAGCATTATGCCCTTGTGCGGGCCCAAGCGGAAGTTACCGACGAAGATGTGAGGCTGCGTCGTTGTGCTGATGGTGATGGTGAGGCCGCCTTGGCACTTGTCTGGCCAGCGATCCTCCACTTCCTGGCATTTGACATCGTAGGTGCCAATGATGCTTGCCTCCTCGGAGTCGAACTCGCTCCGGATTTTGGTGTCTTTATAAGCCGTAGCGGCGGCAACCCCCCGGCTTGGAGCCTGCTCGGAGGCCATGGTTGTTATGTCGTTGTTGTGGTCGTGGTCGTGGTCGTGGTCGTGGTCGTGGTTAAGGTTGAGGTTGAGGCTGTGGTCGAGGTTGAGGTCGGGTTTGAGGTCGAGGTCGAGGAAGGCTTATGGAAAAGGCTGGCTCCAGACTCCAGGCTCAAAAAGTCCCACTTAGGGAAGGAGGAAGGCGGAGCCGAAAGGTGAAAAATCGTACGCATATTCTATAGCATTGGGCATTACCCAGTGCGAAAATCAGCCCAGTTAAAATAGCCCTGGTTGGATACCAGGGCATCTTTCGTTTGGGCCATACCCCAGCTGGGCTGGCCCCAGGGCTTGCGAAATATCCTATGTTTTCTTTAGTCCAAAGGATACGTTGTAGTAAAATATCAACCCTCAACCCCACCGGCTTCCCTCAACATCTCTTACCCTTTCCCAGCGAAAGCCTCAACGATTCTATCCAGTTTTATTCTACCATTAGCTGCTGTCCCGCGCCTTCAACATTGACAGCATGACATACCATAAACTTCTCCGTTGGGGGTTTGATTGTTGACGTTTCGACAAAGACACCCTCACCGTTACTGCCCCTAACCGACGTGGCGCCCAGCCCTGTCACCTCCGGACCTCGTCGTCATCTCTCTATGTCTCGGCAGTCTCCCAGGCCCCCTTGAGCACAGCAGGCCACGGAAACTCAAGAACGGCGTCGATAACGGTGAGCATACCAAAGTCGCGCCGAGCACGGAGAGCTGGCAGATGCCCTTCTGTGATACGGGCTTTAACATATCCGAGACTAGAAACCCTGTGAGCTTGAAGATCTGTTGAGATTTTGATGCGTCGGAATAGCTCCGTTGTTGTCTGGGAAGATGGCCATCGGTCATTTCTGCCGGGAATGAGTGAGTGACAAGAAGAACAAGACACCGACGGCCTGCTGTTCTACAGTTTTCACCCATGGTTCTCTGCTAACGAAAGGAGTAAAGATAACTTCTAGATCACATGAATATAGAACGAAGTGTAAGGGAGCGAGCGGCGGACGAACTGCGAGCCTTTCCCTGCTGTGCTTTCTGGCATCACCAGGCACAACTGCGGGCCTTGTCGACAAACGTATATATGAAAGGATGATAGGCAAAGAAGGAGCAGTCGCTACGCATGCGTAGGGTGCAGGAATTCAGCCTTGTGGCACACATCATCGTGTTCCCGTCGAACTTGATCGCATCCATGACGGCCTACTCTTACGCGAACCACCCATTCCCTATGCTGCTACGAGAGTGAAAACAAAACGGATCGTCCGGGACATGGTATATGAGCTGAGTGAGGGGGCCGGCTTATAAAGGTAGCAACATGGGATTTTTTCCCCGTCTTATTACCGCCTGAACCAGTCATTCCCAAGTCTGGAGTGTGTGCCATGTTGAAGAGTCTTTCAGCAAACTTGCAAACATGGTCCCAAGTTATGATGGAAGCTCATGTCGAAGCCTCAGCAAGCAAAAAGAGACCATCCTTATTTATGGCCATTTCAGAGTTATCAATTATTCAAATAATAGTGTTATTTTCAACTGTATTCCGCGCTATAGCAAAGCGTCCATGTGATCAGGTGGTATAGCATAGCATCGTTTGAAATATCTCCTTTTAGAGGTGAACGAGGATCTGATAGTTTAACCAGGCAGAGGCTAGACGCTTGAGAGGACGTATGAGTGTCCGCGTTTTTGGCCTTGCTGCTTTCAAGCTTTCATTCTAGGCTGTATGAGTACCTGGGTAGACTCGTCATTACAAATGTTTAAATACTTAGTTAACATAGCCGGGTTGTTCTTAGCCGGGCAGATCGCCAAAGCCAGAAGAGTAGCAGCACGTCGTCTTTTCCTTTTCCACTGTGAGCTTCGCCTCGCTTGAGATCACAATCCCCACACACGCCCCTGGCCGAGGCAGCTATAACTATGCCAAGTCGAATATCCTCTCCGCGATGCTTGCCCACTGTATGCGCAATGTGTTCTTTGCCTTCTGCTCATGGACCGCCTGCCCGGCATAGTGCCCGAGGTCATCGACACGGAGGTCCTGGTGGTGTCGATCCTGCTCCACGATATGGGGCTGGCCAACACGAGCATCGTCTTAGACGACACCCGCTTCGAAGTCGATGGTGTCGACATCGCCCGTGCCTTTGTCTATGGCCACCACACCTCGCGATCTCCGCCCTGACATCGGCACCGCACGTGGCTCATGTGGGACAGTCATCGTGCTGCACACCACGCCCTCGATCATGGTGCACAAGCGGCCCCAAGGTGGCGCTGGCGGCCGCGGTCATCACCGCCGACTTCTACGGCACCCTACATGTCGCCAGGGCCCGCCGCCGAGCCCGGTCTGCTTCTGGGGGTGGGCGGGTACCTCCAGGTTGCGCGCGCGTCCCGCGGCCGGGCTTCAGGGACATGTTTCGTGGAGCGGAGCTGCGCCCTCTGCCGGCAGAAGGAGATGGCGTGGGACAATGGGATGGGCGAATTCGGCGTCGCGTTTTGGCTCACCGGCGACGGCGCCGGGGAGGGAGGTGTTTGCAGCCGAGTTGTGGGTGTGGCGCCACGGCCTGGCGGCGTTGATGATGGGCCTCGAAAGCCTTAAATCGCAGGACGGCATGGCAGCTGGAGGTGCCTGGGACAAATCGAGGGCACGGTTTGGTTTGGCTTATGGTATCGTCGATGGTTATACCTAAAAAGCGGACTTTCTGGCCCATCACGTCGTGGTGGGAACGGTTGGTAGCAGGATATTTCAGACGGCGGAGGCTAGGCGTCGTTTTGGGTAGGAATAAGGTAGGTGGACCATCGCCAGTTTCGGCAACACCAGGACGTATTTCGATATGTATGGGTATAGCGAATTGTGCAAGCCTAAAACGGAATCAAGGACGGGCACAGCAAGTGGCTGCGCACTGTACATTCAGAGCACAGGCACCAGGTAGTCAGCCTACATATCAGTCTATCAGTTGGTCCCACCCCCGAGCTCCTTGCATCTTTTAACCCCCGCCAAGAGTCCGAGAGCTCGCCATCGATAAGATAATGACGCGAAGGGCACCGCTCAGAATTGCGCCTAGGACGGCCTGAAACAGTTGGGATTGCGCAATGCAGAATACGCCTGAGCAACAAGACAAAATCCGACTGAACCCCGACTGCCCCCTTCTGACAAACAGGGCCCCCCGGGCACTCACTCCATGATGCGAATTTGTCAGGCGCCGGCTTCTTTTGGCCCCGACGGCGGAACCGTGATGCTGTCAGATGCCATATCGCCATTGCTGCTGTCAGTGAGGGCTGACGCCCGTCGTGGACCGGCTTCATGGCTGCAACCACGATACATGGCCTTGCTGCAACGGTTGAGACTTGCTCCCACGAACGAGACAGGTGTTTGTTGGGGTGCGTTTGCGTCGGCGAATCCGATCTTGCTATCCGAGCTTGACTTTTCTGGGAGCAGCCCTTATATGCCCTCGCGTTGGCCAGCAGCGCGTGCCATCCACGACCCCCTCGGTGCGGGAAGCGGGAACACCCCATCAACCGCATCACAGACAGCACCAAGATGAGCCACCACTCGAGCCCGGAGCAGCAGCCGCTGCTCTCCACATCCTCGGCCTCGGACACGCCCGCGTCCGCCTCGACCCCGCGACGCGGATCTGCCTCGTCCAAGGCCTCCCTCGCCTCGTCACGATCCACGCTCGTGTCGGAGCAGGCGGCCGAGTTGGCACTCTACAGCGAGACACGACCGTCGCGCGCCGTCGAGGACGACGTACTACCCGAGGCGTCGCCGGCGGGACGGACGCTGGGGCGGGGCAGCGCCTACGTGCTGGTGATATCGCGCGTCATCGGCAGCGGCATCTTCGCGACGCCCGGCGCCGTCCTCAGGTCCGCGGGCAGCCCGGGCCTGGCGCTGTCGCTGTGGGCGGCCGGCGCCGTCGTGGCGGCGTGCGGCCTGTCGGTGGCGCTCGAGTACGGCTGCATGCTGCCGCGGTCGGGCGGCGACAAGGTCTACCTCGAGTTCACGTACCGCCGCCCGCGCCTGCTGGCCACCACCATCTTCGCCGTCGTCACCGTGCTCCTGGGCTTCTCGGCCAGCAACTGCGTCGTGTTCAGCCAGTACGTCCTGTTCGCGCTGGGCTACGGAGACGAGGTGAGCGACTTGTTGCGCAAGGGGGTCGCCGTGTCGCTCCTGGCGACGGTCGTGGTCATACACGGCGTCTTCCCCCGCTTCGGTGTGAGGCTGCAGAACTGGCTGGGGTGGATCAAGGTCGGCGTCGTCGTCTTCATGATCCTCTGCGGGCTGTACGTCGTAGCCCTGCGGCCGGCCGGCCACACACCGCGGGCGGCAGGGCTCCTCTTGGACGGAAGCGACACCCCAGAGGACCAGCGGACGCTGAGCTGGGACGGGCTCTGGGAAGGCAGCAACTGGAGCTGGGGCGCCATGGCGACGTCGCTCTTCAAGGTCTTCTATTCGTTCGCGGGGCTCGAGAACGCCAACAACGTGCTCAACGAGGTGCGGGACCCGGTCCGGACGCTGCGGTTCGTCACGCGCGCCGCGCTCCTGACGGCGTGCGGCCTGTACCTCCTCATCAACGTCGCCTACCTGGCCGTCGTGCCCGCGGCCGAGATCAAGGCCAGCGGCGAGCTGGTGGCCGCGCTCTTCTTTGGGCGCGTCTTCGGCCCGGCCGTCGGGCGCGTCGCGCTCCCGCTGGCCGTGGCGCTCTCGGCCGCGGGCAACGTGCTCGTCGTGGCCTTCTCGCTCGCCCGCGTCAAGCAGGAGGTCGCGCGCCAGGGCCTGCTGCCCTTCTCGGGCGCGCTGTCGTCGACGCGCCCGTTCGGGTCGCCGCTGGGCGGGCTGGCCCTGCTCCTCGTCACGTCCTCCCTCGTCATCGTGCTGCCGCCGTCGAGGCAGGTCTACTCCTTCATCCTCGAGGTCGAGGCGTACCCGGGTCAGTTCATGGCGCTGGCGCTGGCCTTGGGCCTGCTGTGGCTGCGGCATAAGCGGCCAGACCTCAAGAGGCCGTTCAGGGCTTGGGTCCCGGCCGTGGTGCTCAGGGCGACGCTGGCTGTGGCTCTCATCGCGGCGCCGTTTTTTCCTCCGACTGACCCGCCTGCCGGCGGGTTGTGGTATGCCACGTACGCCGCCGTTGGAGTATCCATGTGAGTCACCTCTGCCGAACCACGGTCCATATGTCGAGATATTGCTAACACCTGGCCTCGTTTTCCCGCATGTAGTCTCATATTCGGATTTATATACTGGTATCTATGGACTATATTCATCCCGCGCTGGCGCGGCTATAGACTGGAGGAGAAAACAGAGACCCTAGCAGACGGCTTGACAGTCACAAAGCTCGTCCACGTCCCCGTTGGAGAGTAGCAGAGCAAACATGTATTGGACTGTTTGAAACGCGAGTTGGGTAGAATGGCTACAGCAGCTAGACGGAATAATTAGGATTCCAATGCTTTATTGCGCGGCTTTGCAGCAGGTTCCTTTGCGCATTTCTAATCCACCAATTCCATGTGCAAAGAGCCAACCGCATAGTCATGACGTCTTCTCATGCATACACAATGCTATCCCCTCTGGTTGGGCGGTGCCAACAGTACACGCATGATGACGGCAAAGGTTATTGACAGTCGACAGTTGGTGAATGTGCTAGCGGCCACGGAACTACACTAGCCAGCTCAAGTTCCGACAGACCGTCGGGTGTGGGGCGCACCACAGATGTTTCCAGAACAGGCATATGATGTAGTTCACCGGGAAGACTCAAGCCCCGCTTGGGATTCGATTTGAAATGCCTGACTTCCGTTAGCCCAAGGGGAAAACAAATGACCTGCACACCAATACTGCGCAACACCCTGTCCTTCCTATTGGCCCCTTTGATCACCAATCACCCAGCATCGACACCTTGCCTGGCCATTGCGTGATGCGGGGTCGCGCGCCGCCATGGCTCGATAACGGCCCGAGGATTACAAACGCGAGAATCCGCGACGGAGTTTGGCGCAACTTAGTTCCCGCGAGGCCAAGACTCTAGGGGTCGTTATGGGGACTAGGTAGGTGGTCGGTCTTGTACAAAAGGAGGTCGTCGTAACCATCGCTGGGAGAGTGTCTAGGTAGTCACAACAGCAGCAGACCCCCAAACCCCAAACACTAGCTCTCTACATATCTCCCAGCAACACTAACACCCCATATATCAAAAATGGCCACCGCCGCAGTCCAGCTCCCCTCCTCGGCCCTGAGCCTTGGCGGCGCCCCGGCGCCCACCGCCCAGCAGCTGCAGACCGCCGCCGCCAAGCCCGCGCCGCAGGCCCGCGACGTGCGCACGACGCTCAACTTCTACAAGCCCAACGCCGACGGGTCGCCGCCGCACCCGACCTACACCGACCGGCCCGAGACGTACGATCGGCCCGTGGAGCCGCACGACATGCTGATCCGCGACGTGCGCGGCTCCGACGAGCGGCACACGCTCGACGGCAGCGGCTTCCAGTTCCACCGGCACGTCGCGACCGAGAAGGAGTTTGTCGACGAGGACAAGATCAGGGGGAGCTACTACCCCGAGACGGAGCAGCTGCTCAAGGACGTGTAAGTGCCTTGGTGAACCAGCTTACATACATGAACATACAATATAGAAGCGAAAGAGAGAAAAAAAAAAAATCCTAAAATGACCGAAAAAAACAAAGCACCGGCGCCTCCCGCGTCTTCATCTTCGACCACACCGTCCGCCGCCCAACCCCCGACGGCGCCACCACCCCCGGCGGCGCCCCACTCCGCGGCCCCATCCAGCGCGTGCACATCGACCAGTCCTACGCCGCCTCGCTCAGCCGCGTGCCGCACCACCTGCCGGACGAGGCCGCCACGCTCCTGCGCGGCCGCGTGCAGATCATCAACGTGTGGCGGCCCATCCGGCGCGTCGACCGCGACCCGCTCGCCGTGGCCGAGGCCCGCAGCGTGCGCGAGGAGGACCTGGTCCCCACGGGCCTCATCTACCCTACCCGCAAGGGGGAGACGCTCCAGGTCCGATTCGACGAGGGGCAGAGGTGGTTCTATAAGAGCGCCATGGCGCCGGACGAGGTTCTGCTCATCAAGTGCTTCGACTCAAAGGTGGACGGGCGCGCCAGGCGCGTGCCGCACACGGCGTTTGCGGACCCGGACGCGCCCGCCGACGCGCCGGCGAGGGAGAGCCTCGAGGTGCGCGCGCTGGTGTTCCACCCCGAGGACACGGAGTGAGAGGGGTGTTTTTGATAAGGGGGGACGAATAGGTCGGTATAGGTTGGGGCGTACTATATCTGATTAGGTAGATTGGCATAACAAGTTTCATAGCTACACCTCCCAGACCGCCAGCAAAACTCTTGAAGTGAACCTGTACATGTACATGAACTGTAGTAAACAGGAGCTGTGCCGCCTGCGACAGCTTCCACCGAGAGAATATGTCGTGAAGCCCATCGATCCATCAAGCAAGCAGAAACAAGGATATACGGCAGACACTCGGGGCGAATCGGTGTAATGGGGTATGTGCAAGCATGGCGGATTTCATCGCACAAGAAAGTAACAGACACTCCGGAGAGGCATCAAATGAAACGAAACCCCCCCTCAAAAAAAACACCCTCGGCAGATCCCTAGAAGCTGCTGAGGTCTAGATCCCCGCCGCGCTGCACCCGGACGTTGTTGGTCCGGTTGGAGGAGCGCGGGCTCAGGTCGACGTCGACGTTGCTCGGCTGCCTCGACGCGACCCGGCCCAGCGGGCTCAGAGGGACGCCGCCTCCGGGGCCTCCCAGGTCGTAGCGGTCAAGGTGGCAGGGCCCGTCGAGCGGGCTCCTGGGCGGGCCTCCCGCGGTGGTGCCCGGTATCGCAAGCGCGGCGGCCCCGACGACACCACCCCCGCCGCTCGCCCGATTTCCCTTGCGGAACCAGCCGCTCACGGACGCGACGAGGCGGCGGAGCCACGGCGTGTGGCGGCACAGGTCCTCCCACTCCTGACGCAGGACCTTCCAGCTGGTCGAGAAGTAGATGACGGCGTTCCAGACGCCCTGGAGCGGCAGCACGGCAGCGCTCGCTAGGTTGAGCGGGTAGCTGACCTTGTCCGGGTAGATGAGGTTGTAGACCCGGTTGATGCTGCTGGGCGTCCACGTCACGAGCACCGAGATGGCGAACACGAAGGACGTGCGCAGGTACGCCAGCTTGACCGGGTCCAAGTGCCGCAGCTTGGCCTTGATGTGCCGGCCCGGGGCCCAGAACCGCCGCAGCGCCGCCGCCGACGCGGGCTCGTCCTCCTTCTTCTTGCGCACGCCGCAGCCCGAGGAGACGACCGAGGTGCTGTGGAAGTTTGGAGGCGGCGGCGGCGACATTGGCAGGTGACGCGTCGGGGCGGCGCCTTCGCCGTCCGAATCCCTCCTCAAGCACCGGTCCGACGGCGGGTATGGGAAGGCGGGTATGTATGGGCTCATTGGCTTGGCCGAAGAGCCGCCGCAGGGCTCTGCAGCTGGCGAAGATGGCTCGCCTCTCTCTTCGTCATATAGAGGACCCATGTGCGCATTACCCCACGTGTGGTAGCGGGGGTCGGACGGCGCTGCGCCGCCCGGAGGGGTTGGCGGCGGCGATTCGACGTCTCCGGGATGGCCGTCGCAGCATGGATCCTTGCTGCTCGTCGTGACTTGGACCTCGGTGGTAACGGTGCCCCAGTAACTACCGTTGCTTGTGAGGTTCTAAAGTCGCGACTAGGTCAGCTCCTAGTTCAAGTGTTTCTCCCGACCGTGCCAACAGCCGAGACTTGATGCCGAAGCGGAGAACGCTCAGAAACAACGCAGACGCCCCCTCGGTAGCTGGAAAGACCAAGTGATTCGGAAGCAGTCGAGCGCGGCAAACTGTTACCTAAGAGTAGCGTGGACGCTGACACTCACCTTCTCAGCCGAGTCGCGGACATCGGACGCGGAGCCCTCCTTGGCCTGGTTGCTGAGTGTCAAGTTCCGCAGCTGGTTGCGCTGGTGAAACACCTGGTAGCCGACGGCAAAATATATCACAGCCGACAGAGCGATGCAGAGCCATATTGGCAGGTAGTATGTGTAGATTCGCAGGGAGCTCCATTCGTGGTTGATCCAGCACCAGAGCTAAAAAGATCAAGGTTTCGCCGTACAGCCTTGGTCAGCAGGGTGTCGGCTATTTCTTGTTTTGCGCCAAGGATCCCCAAGCGCGCCCGACAACGGCAAAGACTTACAATTGAATCGCCGTACATGGGTCTTCCGTTGGGCCGGACCAGAAGGCAGATGAATGCGGGAACGGCTGGCACTCCGAAGCAGAGGGCGTTGTAGACCCAGAGTTGGCGCCGAAAGCTCGACGGGTTGTGGCCTCTGAAAAACACCATGTAGACGTTGATGGCCATGGCAGCAGACCACCAGGGGTCGGCCTGCATAAACCTGTTGATCAAAGGAACGTGTTAGCCATGAGCCCTGAAGCGTGTCAAGCGGCCCCCCTCTCGACTCACATCTCGAAAAGAAACGCCTGTGTTTGGCAGAGGCCCGAGTCCTCGCCTTGCTCGATGCCGTCCAGGGCGATGATGCTGGCAACGCTGGCGCCGATGTTGGCGATGGAGGCGAACAGGATAAAGTGGTTGGGGATCGTCCGTATGCGCTTCGACCAGTAAAAGGTGATGAAGATCAGCACAACCCCGACCAGGGACAAAGCCCCCCCGGCCCGCTCCAGGGTCGCGAGAATGTGGCGCTGCTCGACAGTGAAGGCCATCTCTGTCGACAACGGCCCTGTCGTTGTGTCTGCCATGGTGTATATGCGGGAGGTGCGGCGTGGTGGTATGATATCGGGATTATATCCAGCGGCCCCTCTGGGGAAACCTAGTTGGTGTGGGTTGCCAAGGGGGGGCCCGGGGTAAACAAAATGGGGAGGGAGGGTTGGTGGCGTGCAGGGCTCGACGGTTGGGCCCAGGCAAGAAGATGGAGGGTGTGATCGGCGACAAATAAGGGATGCGGAAAGCGAGGGATGGCGTGCAGCACGCTGGGGCGGCTGAGTCGCTAGTCGCTGTCGAATCCGGTCAGGACGGGGAGGGTGGCCTGGTGCCTGATGGGAGTGGAGGGGCAGGTTCCCGACTGAACTCGTGTTATTGCTCGGCCGCAGGTTTCAGTTGCCGTCGAATTGCAGCGGCTTCCTCGTAGTGGGCTGGGCTTCTAGGCGAAGTGGTGCCGTCCTGGTAAGCTGAGGGCCCTGGTGGGTTTGCCGCCCAGGGGCAACCAAAGAGGAGGGGAGGATCGCCCTGTTCATCATTCTCACCCGTAAGCTATTGGACGTCTTACCCACCTTTCTCGCCCAGGCGCTAGAAGGTCGAGCAAGCCGTTGATTCGACGGTATATCGGGCGGGATGGTTAATCCTTAGAGCCTGCCCTGCACCTATCTAGGGATATCCTCCCTTCTAGCTTCTCAAAATATGCGAGGACAGGCTTCCTCGGGCGTAGGGGCCATGCAGATCTTGCTAGATACGGGCGTATTGTCGTGACCGAGGTGCAGCTTGGTGACCTACTCGACAGCGCCAGAGAAAACGACGACAACCTATAGAAGAAAATCACCAGGGGCAGACAGGAGGGAGGGATGCGCGGAGGTTGGCGAGACGCCCAAACGTGGCAGGCCAGGGGTGCTTCGGAAAGGCTGAACTGTGGTCTTTCGCTGGGCGCCGATGTGCGTCGGGCGCGGCGTCGTAGGTGTGTAACACGAAAAAGGTCGCGGGTGCAGCTAACTATGCTGCCATGGGCCTATCCTCGGGGCGCCGGCGACGGGAAGTAATCTCCTGTTATTTGTCGAGGGGGGGCAGGCCTGTCGACTCCCTGGCTCGGCAGACTTACCGCTCACGCCCGTCGATGACCCAACGGCAGAGACAGAGGACGGCAACAGGCGGCCAAGGTCTCGGCTTGAGCGGTCGGGGCTGTGGTGTCTTGTGTCCCGTTGGCGGCGCCGGTGGTTGGCCTCGAGTCGACTGCCGAGTTTGACGGAGGCGAGCCTTCGAGAGGACATTCATACAATCCAGGCGACGAGTTTCTCGTGTCTCGATAGGCCCAGCCTACCATTATCCCGCCCCTTTTCCCTAGCACGCGAGGCGGCAGCCAACGAGCGAGTAACTGGGGAACGGGAGCTCCCTGGCTGGGGTAGGCAACCCGTCCCGTGCCCCCTAAGAAAACGTCGGGATGAATGAGAATTTTCTCGTGCGACCGCGTGTGTTGTTTCCTGCGCGGCCTATTGGACAACTGGCACGCTGCATGCGGTCACAACATATCCAGCCCCGGTTCCTGGCCAGCAGATAGATGATCTTATATGAAGAGGGGAGACAAGCAGAGCCGGATGGTCCGGTCGGTGGTCATGGGCAAAGCTGGCGGCCAACCCTCGGCGTATTGGGCCAGTTGGACTTGGCGGCTCCGTTCGCCAGGCCGACCATGAAGCTAGGGGTAAGGGGGAGATACGGCGAGCAAACGAGGTAGACACCGCGCAGATGCCACGCAAGAGGCAAAGGAGCAGTCGGGCAAACAGCCGGTGTGTGGAAATAAGCAACAGAGCAAGAAGCAAGCACTCAGTAAGCAAGCGCAAGCCTCTCGACGTCAGGGTCTCCCCTCCACCAGGTCGATCAAAACCCCCTCTCGAACGTCATAGATGTGGCGCGCGCAGACTTTATCGCCAAAAGTTTGTCGGACGTGCATTGGGTGTGGTTCTGGGCCGTCCACAAACCGGCAGTGGGGGCTCGACCGTGACTGCCACAGGGAGGGGCTTGAACCACGCGCCACCGGGTCTAGACTCAAGTGTCTGTCACCCTGTCGCAGAGGTCCTTCGCAGGGATCCCGCCTACGCTGAGTGAAAGGAGGGCCGATGACGAAACAAGACACGAGGCGCCACAGGCGCGACGCGAGCCGGACGACTTTAAAGAGCATTTGCTTCTGCACTCGGCACCTAAAAACCGGGCTGTGGTCGGCCAGGACAAGACCTTCTTGCTTCTGATAGAGATTGCGGCGCATGCCCCGCAAACGGAACGGGCCACTAGCCATCCCTTGTGCATGGGCCTAGGTTCCGAGCAGAGGACTTGGAGACGAGCGAACAGAATGGGGGTGCTTTGTCAGGCTGTGTGATGGGCCGTCATCTTGTAATCTTGTGGTGTGATGGGCTCTGCAGCACTAGCGAGCACCCGAGAATGGAACAAGATGGTGGGTGCGATAGACATGGGAGGCACACAATCCGCACACCGCACACTGGTCGGTGGCAACAATACACTTTTGGGGGCCTCTCTCCGGGGACGGGACGCCAGACGAGAAGATAAAGGGGGGTCCGGCAGCATGCTTTTTATCGACTGCAGGCCGCCACCTCGGCGCCAGCTCCGTCTCACCGCCAGCGCCATCTTGGGTGGGCTTCCCGGAGATGTAGGCCACGGCTCCCCGGCCGGGCCACTGGACACAGCGGGAAGCTCAGGACTCGTTATGAAGTTGGGCTATCAGGCTCGCAAACTAAGCATGGCTCCTGGACAATGGGGATGCGACCTGTAAGCACCCCTGGCCGAGCAAAAGACACAGGGGCGATCTCATTCCTCCACGGATGACTGCATGACTGTCGGTTATCGAGGCTGTCCGCCCGTAAAAGCACACGGGTACCGGCGTGCGACGAGGCCTGGCGGTGACCCAGATGAGAGTGAAAGAGGGTGTGTGGCGGGGGGGCTGTCGGACGGTTCGCACCAATCCTTTTCCTTTTTCCCTGGCGTCAATCTCGATCTCGCTCTCTCGCCTGCAGCACGCAGACCTAGTGCTCCCTTCTATTTGTTTACGCAGCCAGAGTCGCTGGAGAGCTCGGTGACAGGAGAAGGGCCTTTCGTTTCGGCGCCGAAGGACAGGTGGAAATGAGAAGTCGGGCGCACGCGAGAAGGTGGCGGGCTTGGCCGGCTGCCGCGCGAAACAGTCTCGCGCCCTTTGATCTGAGAGGCCCGGGTTTTTAGAGGTTTGTACAACGATACCAGCCGTTTGTTTGCCTTTGGTCGCGTGGCGGGCGTTGAAAGGTTGCGGTGTCTTGCTTTTGGGCGCGTGTGCCGCCAAGAATTGCGACAAGCTGACAGTTGGGCAAACGAGGAGCATATGCCTCCAGGGTGCAGTGCGGGGGCGGCGGGGCTGGCTGCCCCGCTGTTTTATTTCCCCAGACAAACCAGCGTCCATTGTTTGCTTGGTTGGCTTGCGCTCGCAAAAGCCATGGAAACCATCTGCCATCCGCTGTCTCATCCTTCAATCTGTCATGTCTTTCTTCCAGCTGGATCCTGGCATCTACCCGGCTAGGTGCGCCCGGCTCGCGAAGCTATGTCCGAGGACATTCTGCAAACAACCAGAAATTGCAGCTTTGCAATTCCCAGAGATAGGACGAGGCATCAGAGTCGCCTTCGGGAGAAAGAGAAGAAAAGCAGCAGACACGACCTTCTGCCGGTGCACCCCTGCCTCGTTCCATTTTCCACGTTCACAATCGGAGCTACACCAGCCGGTCTTGCCCTGCCGCCCTACCGCTTTAATTAGGATATTGATGACAGCCAGTGCCGCCGGCTTACTGAGTTTCTGCCCTCAATATCAAGCGTACGGACCCGGTGAGCTTTGGCCACATAAATTGAAGTTTGTGGGGTCCCCAGGCCCGATAAAGGCAAGAAGCCTCCCAGCGAACCATCTCGCACGGAGACGCGGCTTGATATTGAGTTACCATCATCCGACACTGCTCTGGGATGCGGGTTGTGGGGGTCATGCAGTTCCATCTACTCGCCGAAGAGCCGGAACTGGAGTGCTTGGGGTGACAGAAAAGGGTGAGGACATGAATGGAGGCGGCAATATGAGCGAGTTGATCTGGCCGATACCCTCCCTGATCTAATTGACTTCCGAGGCAGTGCCGTGAGCGTGCCGGCTGTCGTTTATTCCACTCACTCCTTTGTTTATGCCGCGATGCTTTATAATTGCCGGGTCCAGCCGACATATGGGTGCGTGTTGAAATCGAGAGAGATAAATAAGAACACACCCTTTGTGAATTTGCTTGCGTGTATGACTGCCATCATCTTTCCCTCTTCCTGTTACGCCTGAGCTCTCTCCCCTCAGCAAAAATCCCAGGTCTCCAAAAATCGACGTTGGCCAACTTCCAACCATGAAGGGGACACAGTTATCTCTCCTCGCGAGCCTGGTCGTCCAGCAGGCCGCCGGACACGCCATGTTCCAGCAGCTGTGGGTCGACGGCGCTGATATGATACGTCTTCCTGATCCCTACATGCCCCAAGCCCGAGTCCAAGGCTGACGAGGCCCGACCAGCACGGATCACAATGCGCGCGTGTGCCAAAGTCGAACTCGCCGGTGCAGAACCTCGGAGGCGCCGACCTCAGGTGCAACGTGGGCGGCGGGCGTGGCATCGCGGGCAAATGCCCCGTCCCGGCGGGCGGCACGGTCACTGTGGAAATGCATGCGGTAGGTAAAGGGGAGCAGAGTGGGAGGGCACGGAGCGGTATTGGGTTCAAAAGGCGCAGGGGTAAGAACCGCGCAACCGCTCCGGGGGGGAGGGAAGGCAGGGAGCATTCATTGGACAAAGCAGCACACACCGTTCAAGAACACTATACCTAACCGTAAACTCTTCCCGGGGGCGGCGGCGGGATAGCAACCGAACGACCGGAGCTGCAAAAACGAGGCCATCGGGGGCGCGCACTACGGCCCCGTGATGGTGTACCTCAGCAAGGTGCCCGACGCGTCGCGGGCGGACGGGTCGGCGCCGTGGTTCAAGATCTTCGAGAACGGGTGGGCGTCGACCGGTGGGGTGGGCGACAACGACGAGTGGGGCGTCAAGGACCTCAACAAGTGCTGCGGCAAGATGGACGTGCCGATCCCGCGCTCGCTCGCCGCGGGCGACTACCTGCTGCGCGCCGAGGTCATCGCGCTGCACACGGCCGGGTCGGCCGGCCAGGCGCAGCTGTACATGACGTGCTACCAGATCACCGTGACGGGGTCCGGGACCTGGTCCCCGCCGGCCTCGCAGATGGTGTCGTTTCCGGGCGCGTACAAGACCAACGACCCGGGCATCCTGGTCAACATACACTCCAAGCTCAGCAAATACGTCGTGCCGGGGCCAAAGGTCGCCGAGGGCGGCTCGACCAAGACGGCCGGGTCCGGCTGCTCGTCGGGGTGCGCCAAGACGTGCACGGCCGGGTCGGGCAAGAAGGGGAACGTCATCGTGGCCGAGCCCGGGGCAGACGCGGGCGGGACGGAGCCGTGCGCGCAGGCCAGGTTCGAGCAGTGCGGAGGGCAGGGCTGGACGGGGTGCACAAGCTGCATGGTGAGTTAAGAATAGCCCGTTCCCGGGATATGACACTTGATTGTGACGCTGACTGGAGATTGTACTCGGGTGCAGCAAGGAGCGGCATGTAAGGACATGTCAGGGGGGTACTATTCCCAGTGTGTGTAGCTGCACACCGGCAGACAGGTCAGACAAAAGGTGGGGAGGTGAATACTATCGGGTTCTGGGTACGAGGTAGGCCTAGGCCAAGTCGGCAGGCTAGTCTCCTCTGCACTCCATAGGAAAGTTGAGCCATTGAACACACTAGACCTAAGCAAATTCGTCTTTGGAGTGCGTGGAATGGTGGTGGCGCACCTGTAGTCAGAGCTATATGCCCGAATTGCTTAGCGAGTTTAGGCAGGAGCCAGTAAGCCAGGTGTGGCACAGTTAGGTGCGCACATGATGGGAGGAGCGCGGGTAGTGATCGTCATGCGAGCGGGAAAATCTAATTGGGTCAGCAGTAAGGTTGCCGCATGTAAAAAGGTATCACAGCGACAGGAGAGAGATGGTAGACTTGGAAACAGGGCGAGAGAAGTCAGGAGACGGCATGTCCGGCATGGTGAGAAAGAAATGGTGTTTCGTTGCAAGTCTAGAAGCCCCCGAGGCCAAAAACAAATCCGTAGGCGCCCAAAACGCCATGTGACCCCGACAAAGCGAGAACAAAAGAAACCCCAAGAAAAACAACCCGCCACCTGATATGCATGAAGACCCAAGTTGCCAAACACCATGCTAGAAACCCGAGATCGCTGCCAAGATGAGACGAAGAGAGGAAGACAGATGGGCTAGAAAGGGGGCATTCCGTGAAACAAGGAAAAAGACGTGGATGAGAACAAAATCCGGAATCGTTCGCGACTCGCAACCGCTTAAGCAGCAGCCTCGGGGGCGGGCGCGGCGGCAGGGGCGGCAGCGGGCGCGCCCTCGGCAGCAGGCTTGCCGGCGGGCGGCATGACGGCGGCCTTGACCTCGCCAGCGCCCTCGGGGCCAGCCTGGGGGGCGGGCGCCGCGCCGCCGGGCTGGGCGGCGGCACCGGCAGGCGGGGCCTGAGCGCCGGGCTGGCCCTCGGGGCCCTTGCCGCCCTCAGGGCCCTTGGGACCCTTGGGACCCTTGGGGCGCCCGTGGCACTTGACGCCGGGCGGGCACTTGCGGCGCCTGCACTTCTGGCCGGGCGGGCACTTACGCTTGTGGCCGCCGTTCTTGTGGCCATGGGGCTCCCGGGCCTGGATGGCGTTGTTGTTCAACCGGCTGCCACCGCAGCCGTTAATGCCCGCGCAGGCAATCGGGGGGGTTCTAGGAGGGCATTTAAGACCCTTGCAGATAGTCGGGAGCCTAATTACAGGGCAGTTAATCCCCATGCAGATGGGTTGTACGATGCGCCTGTCCAGCTCGTTAGCATCCGAAGAAGACGGGGCGGAGGAGTCGCTCCTGACGACGACCCGGAAACCATCTCTAGGGCCCGTAGCGGCGGCGGTGGCGATGGAGGGCAGGGCCGCGGCCAGCAGGAAGGCGGCGAAGGTGTTGGCGTGCATATTGGGCGGTGGTGATGTTTGGATGGGTGTGGTTTTGTGGTTGTGCTGAAGGAGTCGACGTTGAAGGTGTTGCTTTCGCGTTTGGAGTTGGTGGTTGCTCTTTGTGGTCTGGGTTGGTTGGGATGGTTGTCTGTGTGGATGGGAATATCAAAGACAACAACCACAAAGCGACGAGTCCTGCCTGTTCTTATACATGATCGTATCCCATGCTATTGCGAGTTCGGCACCGAGCATCTAACTACATGGCACAACAATCCAGTATGACTACAGAGCCTCAGCAGGAACGAGCACACCAGCAAACTTCCATTCCCGTGGCACGGTTCCGTCGGCCCCTCCAACGTCCACGACCTACAGTAAGTCGGCGCGCTGGGAGGCGGCACGGCAGGAGTCGATTCCGCAGCCTTGGGATGGGGCTCAGCCCTGCCTTCCAGGCCGCCTGGCCTAGACCCAGCTATGCCGGGTCGCAGTAACAAGATTCTCGAGCAGTAGTTATTGGATGAAAAGAGTAGGATCCGACATGGCCGTAGAGGATGCAAGTCAGCGCATGAATGATCAGCACAGCGCCGCTCACCAGCGCTGCTCTTTGCGCGAGCAGATGTTCAATTCGAGATCAGGAAGCGATTTGAAACATGCAACGCAGTAATTGCATATCTTCCCGGCACTGCAGTCTTCTATCTTAGGTTTGCGGCTCTAAGGGATGCAATCCCATTGGGATTTCTGGGTGCTCGCATCTGTTTTCACATTCTTGGAAGCTTTGGGATTGTGGGCGCGGCAGTTGAGTGGGGCCGGAGCAATTGGCTGGGAGCCCCCCCTGGCACAACAAGCTCGGGACCGACGGGCGCAGTCTGAAATTTGCCGTCCAAGCATTGACGCCCCTGTCGCTGGTATTTTTAGCACCCACTTTTCATTGCGACACAGCGGGCAGCTGGACCCAGGTCTCGACCGTTGGTCGTGGCGGGGCACAACCAAACATGGGCGCTGCCTGGAACTCAGAGGTTGGCTATTGCATTTGCATCAGGCCTGGTTTGCATCAGTCCAAAGGGGCTGGGGCTCCGCCTCGGAAGCTCCTGATCTCAGCCGGCATTCACCATCGTCGTCCCAACAGGATTGAACAATTGCTGTCTTGATTATCGGTATATCGGCGACGGCTTGGCTGGCAGCGAGGCTCGACTGCACGACGCCACCACGCTGCCTTTGCAAGGCGTCAAAACCAGGTGCGGGGGAAGCTGCGGATAAGAATCCGCTACCTCGCTCTGGGCCGCGGCGGCCTCTCTGGCGCGCTTGGGCGCCGCCATGTCTTTGCTAGGAACCTCAAGCCTCGTGTAGTGCCGCTCCTCTTCGACGCCGACCGAGTGCATCGCGAAGGAGTCGCTCTGGCTCAGACAGCACGACGGCCCGGAGACGACCGTCGTCACCGTGCTGGTGACCATGATCTTGGGGCGCTTGTCGACGACGTCGCGGCTGAACCGTTTCGCCCCCTGTCGGAAGAAGGGCCCGAGCGACGGCAGACAGCAGCAGATGATGCCCACCCACATTTCGAGGTTGCTATTCCGGCGAGCGACGAGAATCTGATCAGTCACGGATGATCTCGACAGCCACGCACGACTAGCCGCCACAACGGTCAAGGCCAAGTGCTTACTTCCACGTCGAGCTCTCTTTCCAGCTCTGGGGAGAACTGCCTGCGGCAGTCCGTAAACGCCACGAGTATCTGAGACGGACGAGGCTCACGCCCAAGACGCTGAGAAAAGGACCACGTGTGTTAGTGCCTGCATCTTGGCATTTAGTCCAAGGAGATTGCACAGCGCATGTGGGAAAAACACTTACAAGCCGCCAGCCATCAGGATAGGCAGCAAGGCGAGCTTGCGGCTCCAGCTCATCTGCAGTGGCTTTAAAATCCACATAGGAACAAGTAGGAGGATCGAGTCGGTAAGGGAATTCAACAAGCCGCCCACGATGTACGACTCGGTGGCATGTACGCAGATGACACTCTTGTTGCCCAATATCACGTCTCCCAGGCCGCGCACGGTGACTGTACACGCGATCGAGCAGCTGACCAGTGCGACGCTGTAGGTGGCCACGGCGCCTATCACCATGCACAGGAGCATCTTCATGGACCGCGTCGCCGCGAAGTTGAGGAGATGCAGCGCCACCGAGGCTTTGGCCAGGGCCGTGGAGACGGCCTGACACGGGAACGCGATCAGTCCGATCAACTTGGCCGCCCCAGCCGAAAGGCACCATGTTAGCCATGTGTTCTACGACTGGCCCCCTTGCTCCCCTGATTTGCCCTCCCTGGCTCTTGCAGCGCTGCGACATACCCTGTATATCAGTAGGACGTTGCCGACCAGCCAGTTGCCGCGAGGACCTTTGACGTAGGTTTCGGTCACTTTACGAGACGGACGTGTCAGCGTCGGGTGACTTGGGCCCGCGACTCCGCCAGTCTTGAGGGCGAGCCGAACATACCTGCGATTTTGACACCAGTACACGCCACGGCAAAAACCTTTGCATGTCCAGTCCGTCAGTTAGCTCGTCGAAGACCCAGCTTGGAACCACGACCGTAGTGCTCCCTACCACTGATGCGACCAGGAGTGCTGTTCGAGCAAAGTGACAGCTTCTTATTAGCCTTTGTGTGTTTCTGGGTCGGCGGAGAGGGCGACGAGATCAACCTACTGTCTGCCCATGACCACCTCCTGAAGATAAAGGAGGCCGTGTAAAGCCGGATGATGACGAACGGGAGCGCAACAAGAAAAGGTGCGATCGTGCCGACTAGCAAGTCACCGCTCTTCGTCCCTGATGCCATGGCCTTGCTTGGTATGTTGTCATTTCATCGTGTCGAGCCCCCATCCGAACATGCGGAGAGAGGAAGACTGGGCGCTGGGGGACACTCTGCAGATAAAGGGCGGATATGGTGTTGCTACCTGATTTATGATTACATTTTGGTCAATTCACTAGGCGGAAAATCGCCCGTCTCCGCGCGCGATGAAAACGCTTCCGACAGCCCAAAAAACCTCTTCCGACAATCTAGAAACACAATGGGTGAAGGAAGAACGAGGCTTGGATCAGCGCCACAAGAGGCGGCGCCGTATTTGGGTTCTGTAGCCGCCGCCACATTCGGACCGTGGAAGAGTTCTCTGGCGAAGGCTGCGGGGGGGTGGCCGTGTGCGCGCCAAATTCGTGGACGGTCTAGGCGTGGCGTGGCTGATGACACACTAGCACGATCGGCAGCCTTGGAAAAAAAATCCACTCCCAGCCAGCCAATTCCAGCCAGCCCATTAGCATCGAGCCCAACCCCTCCCGCCACCCGCACGATTTTGGTTGGGCGGAAGCATCCATCAGGTGAGAATGGATGTGCCGCCTTGCCCGCGTATCTCGATCCGCGAACAAGAGGTCCAATGGAGGAATCGAAAAAAAAAAAAAATAGCGGCAAAAAGTGACGGCCTAAAGCCGCACCTGGTGGTGGAGCCAGGGCGTCGCGCCTCTGGATTTGACAGCGCGCCGGGACCCGAAAGTGATGCTGCGAATGGGGGCCGCCCATTTGGCGCGCCAGCAAATGTCTGGTGGCACCCACCCTCTCCCCTTCTGGCGGGGCGGGGCCTGCACGGCTGCTTTCCGTGGGCCACGAATGCCACCGCCACTGCTATTGAGCTGTCCGGGTTAGGCACGAAGGGGGGAAAACGCGGTCGCCCCGGATTGGCCCCCTGGCCCGGGCCCAAGACAGGGGTCCTGCATCATCGACCTCGTCAACCTCCGTCGCCATTGGGCCTTGCCTCGCCGTTTGCACCTGCACGACGCCCCCCGTCGAGTCCCTGTACCGGGGGGGCTGTCGACGGGGATCATCGTGTCTGTAGGTATTAAAATCCAGACCCGCCATCAACTAAGAGAGTTCCCACAATGCCCTTTGTGTCCCCCTTCATTCAACCTTTCCCAGAGTGAACAAAACTCCACAAGCTCACGTCCAACTGCGAGTGTGTGCTGCGCCCGCCGCCACAAGACGCAAATGGACGCCTTCGAGACCGTGGGCGGCATGTTCCAGAACTCGGGCGTCTGGGGCCTGTTCTCCTGGCTGGCCACCAGCATCTACTTCCTGCTGGGCATCAACCTGACGTCGCGGCCGGCCGTGTCGGTCCGCCTCACCCTCGTCGGCACGTACCCACAGTTCCGCCTGCACAAGGACGACATCAACAACTTTTTGCAGTCGCTCTTCGAGCCCGGCCTGCGCGACTGGGCCTGCGTCGAGTGCGAGGTCCAGACTGGCCGCGAGGGCATCAGCAAGCCCACAATAGCGGTGAGTCGACCCCCCATGATCTTGGCGGCCCTTGTATACAAAATTTCGCGGCATCTAATTGGCTGGTTATTCTGCTTCGCCCCGCTCAGGTCAAGCTCAGGCACAGGAGATGTCTCGAGGGTGATGCAAACCACATTATTTTGCTGCGGCAGCTTGCTCATAACCTCACGGGCCAGTTCCGCCATGGGCCGCACAAGTTCCGTGTGGCCCCAGAGTGGAGGCTGTCCAGCATGACGCCCGTCCAGCGCGGCTTCGGCAGCTACTTCACCCTGATGCAGCTCAAGAAGATGCACGAGGCCTCGATTCTGAGGGCCAGCAAGGCCGACAAGAAGGGGGTAAAGAGGATAAAGCGTAAAGACTCTGCGTACGTGACAATTCCCAAATGTGAGGTCCACATTGTGGTGCTCCCGCTGACGAGCTGTTAAAAAATAATAGGAACGAGGTGCTGCTACTGGCAGACAGCTTCTTCCAGAGCTTTGGAGACCTCATTGTGTTTCTGTCGGACGAGGAGATTGAAGAGTTCCTCTCCGACATGAAGAGGCCCGAGCTCGCAAAGGTGACCAGCCTGCTGAGGCGGATCGTCGACCACCAGAAGAAGCGTGAAGACGACGCGATCGAGGGATCCGTGGTCGAGGCGTCCACGATGGAGACGCGCGACGTCATCCGGGCCGTCGTGGTCCGGATGGACGAGCTGGCCAGGCACGGGCAGCAGCTCAAGGAGTCGGTCGACTGCCTGGACCCCAAGCGCGGCTCGGGCGACGAGATGGAGCAGGTGTCGCAGGCCCTGGCCGGCGTCATGGCCAACAACGCGGCTTTCATCGGCGCCGTCGGCATGCTCTCGCGCAACCTCGAGGCCTCGCGCCGCTACTGGGGCCAGTGGGCCACGGCCCTGTGGACCGTGGGCCTGGCCCTGAGCCTGGCCGGCGTCTTCTTCCCGCCCGCCTTCCTCGGCGCCATGGGCGCCAGCGTCGCCGCCATGAGCAGCCAGAGGAGGTGGAAGCGGAAGGCGCGGCAGGACGACCTGGTGAAGAAGAGTAAGTTTGATACAGACCGAAACAACCAAACCTCGACAAGTAACGCTAGACAACGAGACTGACAAGAACAAAAAAAAACAGTCCAGGAAGCCAGCGGCGAGCTCGGGATCCACAACGCCTCGTGCAGACTCTACATCCTGACCGTCATCTCGCACGCGGGTCACTTCTTCATGTCGGGCACCGACGAGTACCGCAAGTACCGCGAGCTGCTACGCAAGTACTTCCAGGTCGACCCGGGCGCCGACAACAAGCAGGTCGCGGCCCTGGTCAAGGAGACGGGCAACCGCATCCGCAACAAGATCTGGCTCACGGGCGGCGAGGTGCGCTTCCTGGCGAGGAAGTACAAGGTGCCCCTCGCCGACTGGTGAGAAGGGATACGAGTTGAGAGGGTTTGAGATTAGAAAAATGACGCGTTTGTTTGATGACGACTTATGAGCTTGGGATAAAATATGCGGGAGCGGTGGAAAGGCGCAAGCTGGTCTTGGCCGTCTACCAGGGGGGACTGTTGTGAACTACATCAGGATCTCCCCTTTATGACTGACCCTATACACGCAACACTGGGTTGCTGGCACGCCTGTTCCCTTTGTCTCCCCTTTTTGTATACGATCTAGAATAGGGTACATAGCCGACGGATTCACGGCGAAACGGCAAACGAGAATGAGAAAACGACGACATGATGATAGCTCTGGGCCTGTTGGGATTGCGTGTTGCTAGCTTATTTTGAGAGCATTGATTGTGGTTCATTCTAGATTACGTATTCATCTACAAAAGAAAAAGGGCCATGTATTGCCCAAGCAAATGACAACTGGGTATCTCCATGACCAAAAACATGACAACTCCAGAACCAACCAACACATGCCACCCCCCCTCCCTAACAAGCAACAACCGCACCAGCCAGCACCGCCGCCGCAACCGACCACCGCGCCGCACCCCGCACCCTGGCGCCCGAGTCCCGCCCCGGCGCCGCATCCCCGGTCATGCCGGCGCGGAACCCCTTGCCCTCGCCGCCGAGGTACGCGGCCCCCACGTCCGTCAGCGCCCCGCCCTCGTCCAGCAGCGCGACGCCGTCGCCCGTCCACGCGTTGGCCTCGTGGGCGCGGAACGCGCCGAACCACGCGTACGCCCCGACCCAGGCCTCGCCGTCGAGGAGCGCCAGCGACGCGCGCATCATGGACAGCGTCGCGGCCGCGTCGGCCTGCGGCAGCGCCAGCTCCGTGACCCAGACCTTGAGGTCTGCGGGCTTTGCGCCGCCACCACGACCGGCGGCCGGTGCCCCCGAGGAGGTGTCGGTGTAAAAGTCGCGTAGCTGGGCCAGCCAGCCGCGCAGCCCGTCGTGCTCGCCGTACCAGTGCGCGGCGACAAAGTCGGCCGGGCAGCCGCGGTCGCGGTCGAGCTCGTAGCAGGACCTGTTGAAGGCGCGCAGCCACTCGAGGCCGCGCGGGGAGCCCGTCACGGCCGGGTGGCTGACGCGCCAGCGCCGCCGGCCGTTCCCGCCGTTCCCGTCGCCGCCGTCGCGCAGCGGGGCGATGTGGTCGATGTACGCGCGCGCGGCGTCGCGGGGCCCGGCGTCAGACCCGCCCGTGTGCTGCTCGCCGTCGGGCTCGTTGAAGGAGAGCAGGTGGGTCGAGGTCGGCGGGAGGCGGTCCAGGGAGGAGAGCAGGTCCGGGCTCGAGGCGTCGCCGAGGCTGTGCACCATGGGCACGAAGCGGAGGGTGTTGGAGGACGGGGACAAGGAGACGGCGCGGGCCTCGTTGCGCGACCAGGTGTAGTACCACGAGACCTCGGACGCGTTGGAGCCCAGGAGGCGGGTGTCGGACTCGTGGCTCTGGCTGATGTAGGCGAGGCCGCGCTTGGTGCGGAAGTCGGCGCTCGCGTCGGCGCCGGTGGCCGTTGGCGCTGCTGCCAGGGCGAGGAGGAGGAGCGGCAGCAGCGCTGTGGTGATGCGTCGGGGTCTTGGTCGCATTGTGGTCTGTATGAATATTTGGGGTTGGTTGAACAGCCCAAGCAAGGGTCAAGGAGCTGTCATAAAGTTGGCGCGAAACAATATAGCGTCCAGGTTATCATTTTCTGCCGGTTGAAGCATCCCATGGCCGCGGCCGACCGGAGACGCCATGGCGGAAGTAACGCGCCTTTTGATGAAGCATCCTTGGCGTCCTAGCGACGACGAGGCGAGCTTGTGATGACGACGGCGTTCTTGGGGTTCGCGACAGTTGGGGCGGGGAGCTCGTCGCTGACGTCAGTGGGCTGAGGTTGCTTGGCGCTGGTGTGCTGGCTTCCTTGGTTTTCCCCTCTCGAGCAAGCCTGGAGGAACCTGTCCCTTGCATCGCCCACCACCCTTCGCATCACCAGACCAGCTTCGATTGGTTTTTTATGAATAAAAGACCCTGAAATATTGACAGTTCATCAAGGGGTGGGCCTTGTTCTCCCGCGACCCAGGAAATCGTGCTTCGTTTCACCATCATGTTTACAGACTTGCGGCCAGTCCCGCTCTGGAACCTGTCAAAACCAAGGCACTGGAACTTTAATGTAATTCTGTGTGCTGGGAAGTGGGACAGCGCCAGAGTCAGCCACTCGCACGAGCAAGCGTCTTTGGAAAGATGGGTATGACGTGAAGGCGGCCTCGGGTGGTGGCAACACCAGACAACAGCGAATAAAAGCTAGTAGATTGGTATCGTATATGCTAAATCCTCTCCATCTCTGCAGTCCCCTCCCCTAGATCCTCAGATCATGGTCAAAGTCAGGATGCTCCCGCACAGCACGCGCCCTCAGGCGCACCGCCCCCTGCCTGTACGGCGGGTCAATCATGATGTAGTCCTTCACAACGGCCGACCCGCCCTGCAGCGCCGCGACCTGCTCGTCGGTGCACGTATCCGGGCTCAGCGTGTAGCAAAAGTACGGCACCTGCGGCGGCGGCTCGCTCAGGACGTCGCGCACCGTCGCGGGCCCGGTCGTCCTGTAGTCGGGCGTCGTCGCGGTGTCGACGGTCCCCGTGGCCACGTCCCGGTTGGCCACGGCCGCGCGCGCAAAGACGTCCAGCCCGACCTGCTGCCGGTATGCAGGGGCCGCGTGCCCGGCCTGGAAGACGCGCACGAAGCTCAGGTTCGAGTACTGGCGCACCAGACCGCCGTCGCCGCTGCCGTCACTGGCGCGCAGCGGGCTGTAGCCGGCGGCGGCAAAGTCGGAGCGGTGCGCCCACGGGATGGCGAGCGACGCGGCCTCGCCGCCCATCCAGTTGCAGGCAAAGTCGCGGTCGCCGTACATGAGGGTCACCTTCTTGCCCCTGTCGAGCAGGCCGCCCATGGCCTCGAGCCACCCGGGCCGGTTGTAGTCGCCGATGGAGCGGTAGGCGGCGGCGACGGCGTCCGACGAGCCCGAGTAGTTGAGCGGCACGCCGAGCGCGAGCTGCACGTGGCGCTGGTTCAGGAAGGCGGGCACGAAGGGCTCCGGGAACATGGTCGGGTCGACCTGCGTCACGTCGTAGTAGTAGCGGCCCGACAGGCGCGTGTAGGGGTCGCGGAGGTGCTGGGAGCAGTAGGACTCGGCGCGCTGGCAGATTTGGTTGACGGTGGCGTTGACGCCGGTGGCGGTCGGGTCGTGGAGCGACGAGAGGGCGCGGCACGTGTCGATCTGGTCGCGGCAGCCGCCGGCGCGCTCGTAGGCGTCGACCATGCTGGCGTACTGGGCGTCCGGGAGGGTCTTGATGCCGTACGTGTTGTTGAAGGCCATGTCGCGGTACGACGGCCACTGGACCTGGCGGTCGATGCAGGCGTTTACCAGCAGGAGCGTGTCCAGATTTACCACCTTGTTGGGGGCCGAGACGCCGGAGCCGCCCAGTGTGCCGTTGCGGATGCGCTCGTTCTGCTGCTCAAAGAAGCCGACCATGGCGGGGCCGTAGCGGCCGCCGTAGGACTGGGTCGCGATGCTGAAGCGGTCATCGATGGGCCGATAGCCCGGGAACTCGGCCAGGAATACCTGGAAGAAATGCCAGAGCGCGATGGCGCCGTTGATGCTGCCGAGGCTGGTGGCGTCCCTGTTGGCGCTCGGGTACGTACCCACGCGGAGCGTGCTGTTTTGCGCCGGGATGGGCTCGCCCGGGGCGAGGTCCTTGCGGCCATTGAAGGCGTCGACCGTCACATTCACGAGGGTGTTGTACGAGAAGCCCACCTGGACGGGCTGGTCGATGTACAGCATGTTGGCTGCGGATAACAAAGCGTCAGCAAAAGGAAATGGGGGGTTCTCGTCAGCAAGTATTTCCCTACACTTGTTATTCCACGACGTCGGGTTCAGCCTCGTGGTACTCGAGTCGTTGTTGACGAAGCAGGGCCCGTTCTCGTTGAACAGCCCCGGCATCGAGGACGCGCCCGGGCCGCCGTTCATCCAGACGGTGAGCGGCGCATTCTTGGGGTCCTCCCTGGCCTCAAAGAACCAAAAGAAGGTGTTGATGGGGAAGTCCTGCGCCTGTCCGCCCGACGCGTCGAGCGTGCCGGGAGGGAGGTGGATGAAGCCCGAGTATGATTTGACCCCCGGCGTTGTCTCGCAGATGTTTGGCTAATCACGGCGTTAAAATTAAATAACAAACCGAAGGAATATCCCTGTCATGACCTCACGCACCTCTTTGAAACTGATGGTGATGTTCTCGTTGTATTTGGACTTGATCACCGTCACGCCCTCGGGAGTGGGCGGGAACTGCGCCGACGCACAGCCGATCAGGGCCGCCGCCCCGACTCTGGCAAGTAACCTGAGGACCGAGGGTGCCATGGCTGCCGATCTCGCTCAAGGGTAAAACAAAAGGAAAGACCTGTGATTCTCACACAGGCAGATTAGAGAAAGCACTCCCGTGTAGAGCTGGTGGTGCGGAGGGACGCAAGAGGGCTGCTTCTCGACATCCATCTCGAGGAATGACACGCCAGTTTCTTATAAACAATTACTCTTCCCGGCCCGTGGCATGGGGGACCCGCCCAAACCCCTCAGACCAAGACCTGCGGTGCCATCCCATCATCCCCGCTGCTACTACCTTCCTCACTCGGCGGTTGGGCCTACGTGTTTGAGAGTGGACCGAGACGCTGCGGGAGAATAGAAAAAAAGAAGGTTCCCATTGTTTTGTCGCAATGCGCGTCCAGGCACGGGTCATTATCGCATGGAGTGCAAGTGCAGATCAGTTGGTGGCCGTGTAAAGTCGGTGTCTATGCCGGCTGGGCATCGCGAGGGAAACCTGGAAACGTTTTCCCCGCCTGTGGTCCGGATTTGGCGCAACGGGCCCGCGGGATGTCAGTCCAATCTAGCGGCCGTCGCTGCAAGGGCGGCGTTGGTTGCGAGCACCATAAAGGTTCACTGATTGACTGGTAATAACACTGGTAGCAACCCTGGTAGGTACGAGTCGAGGAGAGTCGGAAGAACCAATTCAGATTCAAGTCTATTGCCCAGTCGGGATATCCAAGACCCTTCCCTGGGTCTATCCAGGCCGACCCCTGACCGGATGCCATGGCTAACCGACATGCTTGTGAACATTAATAGAAAGAAGATCGCCGTCTAAAACATGTTTGTCGAAACAGAAATTAGAAAGCCAGAGCCACATTGGAATGGCCCTGTCGCAACCCTCAAGCCCCCTCGTCTATTTTTTTTATTTTTATAGTTTTACATGCAGGCGCCGCCGTCAATGCCCAGGACCTTGCCGTTGATCCACTCGCCGTCCTGCGAGGCCAGGAAGCAGACGACGCGGGCGATGTCGATGGGGAGGCCGACGCGGTGCATGGGCGACCAGCCGGCGGCGAACTCGTCGACGCCCTCGTTGTCCAGCTCGGAGCCGTTGGGGATGTATTCCCTGCAGACGGCGTGGTACATGTCGGTCTTGATGCCGCCGGGCGCGATGGCGTTGACCGTGATCTTCTTGTCGCCAAAGTCTGGAGTGGAAAAGGAAAGGGATCGTCAGCAATTGGCTCGGACCATTTCGTTAAACAAATCTGGCACCAGCACGACGCTGCGAGATTGCAGGATGTCGGTGCGCTGCTCTGCTCGCGTGCGTGCGTGCGACGGAGCTGGGTTGGGGAAATGCCGGCAATGCAAGGCACCCCCGGCGCTAGCCAGCCACCATCAGAGATGGAGAATGAACGAAAGAAAAAAAAGAAAAAAACGCACCAATAGCCATGCAGCGGACAAAGGTCTCGATGGTGCCCTTGGAGCCCGAGTACACGGCGTGCTTGGGCACACCCTTTGCCTGGCCCGTGATGGAGCCCATCAGGATCAGGCGGCCGCCGACCTCGAGGTGCTTGTAGGCCTCGCGCGCGACGAAGAACTGGCCGCGCGTGTTGATGTTGAAGACGCGGTCGAACTCCTCGGGCGTCACGTCCTTGACGTGCCCAAAGGACACGACGCCGCTGTTGGAGCACACGATGTCGAGCTTGCCGAACGCCTTGACGGCCTGCTCGAACAGCGACACGATCTCGTCGACGACGCCCACGTTGGCCTTGATGCTGACCGCGTCGGAGCCGGCCTTCTTGATGGCGGCAACCACCTGCTCGGCCGCCTCGGTGCTGTTGGCGTAGTTGACGATGATCTTGGCCCCGCGCCTGGCGAGCTCGAGCGCCATCTCCTTGCCGATGCCGCGACCTGTGGTGGTGCGCGCGTTGGGTTAGCATGGTGGTGGGGGTTGTCTGTGGCGGTGCGGGGGGTGGTGGAGTTGGAGCTTACCGGCGCCCGTCACCAGCGCGACCTTGCCCTCAAGGGAGTTGGACTGGGGGCCCAGGGGACCGGGGATTTGGTCATACTTGCTGACACCAGCGGGGGCAGTGATTCCAGGCATTTTGAAGGTTGGGGAGGAAGAAGGGGTATTTGGATAAATTAGTTGGTATTGTAGTGTGGGCTGGAGATACTCCGCTGAAGGCTGTAGCTGTTATGAGGGTTGAGAGAAGGCTGGCTGATGTGATGGCTTCTTTTTTCTTGCTACTGACGGAAGGGGCGACAGGGTATTATATACAAAAGCATGTCTATTCTCACCCTCATCATGGCCTCCCATCCCGCACAGGCGCAACAGCAGCAGCCAGCTGGTGAGTTGCTCCCCCGACGGGCGTCCGGACTCCGGACTTGGACCCTTGGAGCGCCCGTCCTGGAAGCGACAGACTATCAATATTTGCCAAGACAAAGCACCGCCCGCCATCGAGGAGGGTTCGGCCCTTCGCGCTTTCGCCCCCTCGCGAGCAAACACATTGCGCGAAGGGACGGGCTGGTGGGGGGGATGCATGCAAGTGCGCACGCAAGCGGTCCTATTCTGTGCTCTGCTGTGCTCTGCTGTGTTTGGGCCACATCGAGCGCGGCTGTTTTTCCCTTGCTGACGGTGGCTGGGTATATCTGACGAGAGAGCGAGGCTCAAAGGCTAGAAGGACATTTCGTGCTGCCATCCGAAAAAACTGTCGGGGCTGTGGTGTTATTGGACGAACCGGTTCAGGGTTTTGCGTGCCAAAGCGCCAAGCGGCTGAGGCGCTGGCTGAGACTACCATCGCTCCTTCTCGGGAGTCCGAAGTTTTGCTCGAGGGTCCTCCCTGTGGTCGTGGTCCCTGTGGTCGTGGTTCGTCGCTTTCTTTCTTCTCTTTGGTTTTTTTTTTTTGCTCTGGTCCGGACGCGATGGAGCCCATGCTGCTGGGTTGTGTTGGGCTCCGGCAGAGCAATAAGACCCCACTCTACTCTACGCTAGACTATTTGCTTGCTTTTTGGTGATGCGCCCGCCGTCTCTGTCAAGGCCTGGATTCTTCCTCCAAGCCCATTAGCAACTCAACTTCAGACGCTGACGCTCCGCCACAGCCACCACCGACCCCGATTCCTGTTGCAGGGTCAGTCGTCGTGCTGCCGGCCCGGAGCGGGGATGGTTTGCTGACCCCTTGGCCGAACGCAAATCATGACTACGAGTCTTCGGGCGCGGGACCGTTTCCCCCTCCCAGGCGAGCGACGTGAACAGCCCCGCCCCGACCGGACGGCGCCACGCGACTCCCGACGGGACCGGCAGGGCGTCCCATCGCTCGTCGGTTCCGAAGGTGGCCTGTGCGTAACGACAACTAGGGGGAACAGCTGACCAGCATGTGTGCACGATATCTTCAGCCCCCAATCTCCCTCCCCCCCTCGACAGCGATCCGCCCATCCCGTCCCCAGTGCGTTCCCTGCCCGCCCTGATGCGCCGCGCCATGTCCCTGACATGATGGCCGTGCGCTAGTCTAGGTGCTAGCGCGAACACTCGGTGCGTCCTTGCGTTTTCGGCAAGACTTCCCCTCGGATCAGCTGTTCGAGTCTGTGGCGGCATTTTTTTTTTTACTCCCATGGGGCTTCCTTGCTCGCGCGCTCGATTCCTTCTCGGGGGCGACTGTCGTTTTGTTGCATGGTTGCGAGATACTAGATAGTGAGTAGCTATCTCTGGTGGATCGACATGACAATCTCCGGCATGCGCCGCTCTTCCTTCTTTTCAACTTTCTTTTACTCATACTTTTGTTGTGGCTTCATCTCAACTCTCATTGCTTTCCTCCCCATTTTCAGGCCCCGTTCTTGGCCAGTTTCGGCGGCGTTCGGCTGTCCAGGATGGTTTTTGGAATCGAACAAGACCCCGTGACCGCTTGGGTTCGCCCATCATCGCCTTGATGGGGCAACCCACCTGCGTCTTGCCCTGGGACCCTGCATCCCGAACTCCTGCAGCGCGGCTCGATTGACGATGTTGCACAGTCGTCCCCCCAATGCAACACAGTACTATCCATGCAGGGCTGTCATCCGTGCCTGGCTACCACATCGCCCGCGATGCCTTCCCGCTGCAGCACCCGCTACCCGCCTGTGTCTCGTTCACATGGGGCAATTCTTATTGCCCGGCTGTTTGCTTGACCGTCACTTTTGACGCCTTCTTGGCCTTCTCGAATATCCCATTCAAAGAATTTTCAATGGCTTGCCTGAACGCGGTGGATCGTCCGAATTCTTGTCCTATCGTTCCAAAACACCACGAGCCGGGCTCTCTGTGTGTAGCCCCGACTCCTCTGCTCCCTTCCCAGGCCCCGCAAGGAGCAGAGCAAAGACCTGGCCAGAAAGACCCGGCCAGATGGTGTTTTATTTCATCAGCCGCCGCAAGCGCAATGGCATTGAGACCCTGGCGACCTGCCGTCCAAAGAGGCTTTTGGTGTGTGCTATATATCAAACATCCTCAGCTGCAGTCGGCCTTGCTCGAGGGAACCCCCATGATCCGAGTGGGAGACACGGCGATTACTGGTCATCGTGAAGATCGCGGTTGAAACGGTAGCAAAACCAAGTCGGAGCCCTCGCTCTCGTTCCCATCTCGCGGTCCCTTCCCTCTCTGATCGCGCGCTTGTCGCCAGCGCACAGCCATGTCTTGCAGCTCCATGCGGCCATGTTTCGTTTTTCGCGTGCCCTCGTCATGTTTAGTGCCGTTTCCTTGCTGCCCGCCGGATCCTGAGCCGAGCAGAACAAGACTGGGCGGGCGGCCATCGTGGGTTTGTGAGCACTGAGTGGATCACGGCGCGCTTCAGGTTGTCGTTTCAGCCGGCCCCCGCGACCGTCCTCCAAGCCCGTCAAGAAGGTGCCCATCCCCTGTCGACAGCTCTGGCACGGCCAACCTGGCAGCCTGCCACCCTGCCACAGAGAACAGCCTCCAGCGATCGGCAGCTCCCCCATCCTACCCCTGCCGGCTCATCATTGCGGGAGGAGATTTTATTGGCTCGGGAGGGAAGGGGAAGCGGACAGGGGATATGACCCTCTTTTTTTTTAGCGCTCTCCACACGCAAACAAGAGATGCGATTCGCTCCCCCAACGACAGGGCCAGAACCTCGCGATGCGATTCGCTCCCTTGCATGTCGCCGCCGCCAACGTGGAGCGATCTCGACAACCCCTTGCCGGCGAAGCGCACTGCCGTCCTGGGGAGGAGGCAATACGGAGAGTCGCAACACGGCTGCGGGATGGATTCATCTGAACGTCGTCGAGAAGAGGGCGGTGCGCTTGGCGCGGATGCGAGACGGCAGGCCGCCGTGCCTTGGACGTCGTGTCGTCTCTTATCCCCCCCTATCTCAATCACCCACGAGTGAAGTCTATTTGAAGAGGCCTTCGTCCCATACATGGACGCTTCTTGTTCCCTCCATCACCATCATCATCAGCTTCATCCTCCCATCCAGTTCCTTCCGCCTTCTCTTCTTTAGTCACCCATTAGAAGCCCCGGTGGCATTATAAACACACTCATTCCAGATCCGAGATCTTTCTGTTTGCCTTTTACTCCTACAACAACAAGCCCCACACACATTCAAAATGCAGACCAAGTCCATCATCATGCTCGCGCTGAGCGCCACCGCCTCCGCCCACGGCGTCGTCACCTCCATCACAGGCGCCAACGGCGTCACCATGCCCGGCCTGTCCATCGCCGACGGCACCCCGCGCGACTGCTCCAGCAACGGCTGCGGCTCGCAGGCCGACACGGCCATCATCCGCGACCGCGAGATCAACAGCGGCCAGTGCGGGCCCCTCGGCCGCACCCAAGGCAACGGCCCCATCAAGGCCGAGACCATGATCGCCAACTTCATGGGCACCGGCAACGCCCCGACCAACAACGGCCAGGGCGTCGGCGTCGAGGACAACATCCCCGCCAACGCCCAGGCTGCTGCTGCCACCGGTGGTAACAGCAGGACCAACAGGAACCGCAACAAGGCCCGCCAGCTCGGCAACCTCCTTGGTGGTCTCCTGGGCGGCGGCCGCGGTGGCGGCGGCACCAAGGCCGAGACGGGTCCCGAGAGCTCCGTCGCCTCCTCGGCCGGCGAGGGCGCCTCGAGCGGCCTCCCGACCGCCTCCGACAGCGGCAAGGTCACCATGACCTTCCGCCAGATCAACCAGGACGGCGCCGGCCCCATGCGCGCCGACATCGACGCTACCTCGGGCGGCACCGACGCCTCAGCCTTCCGCCCCGCCCAGGTCACCAAGGACGTCCCGGGCTTCGGGATCCAGGGCCTCAGCCTGGCCACCAGCACCGAGTTCCCGCTCGAGGTCCAGATGCCCGCCGGCATGACCTGCGAGGGCACCGTCGCCGGGGTCCAGAACGTCTGCGTCGTCCGCGTCCGCAACGGCGCCGGCGCCGGCCCCTTTGGCGGCTCCGCCGCCTTCACCCAGAGCGCCGCCGCCCGCAAGCGCGCCATCGCCTACAGGCTCAAGAAGCGCATGGAGCTCAACAACCGCGACGAGTAAAGTGTGGGCCTCGCTCATTCTTGCTCGGCGGATCGAGAGCTTCTCTCTCCGCCCCGGCTTTCTTGTCTCTTTTATTGTTTGTTTGCTTGTGTGTTTGTAAGATGCATCTGGTAGCCTGTTTACGGTCCTGGTTTGGCTTGTAGAATATGGGGTCTGGATACCCGCTGGATGCGGCGGGTGGGGCAGATATGATGTTTGATGACTACTTGTATTCTTTTCGTTTCCTTTCTTTCACTGGAGACATTTTACGATACCCACCCTCATTTGCCATGGATCTAGCTGCGGGCGTATAGACGGCTAGAATGGCCCCAAAAGAAGATTCCAGTTTAAATACCTTGATCCATTGCTCTGTCTGCCCATGGGCATCCCAATGAGGCAACCCGTAACCGACATGGGCTCCGCCACGCCATACGATGCACCAACAGAACCAACAGCCAAACCTGCCCTAGCGGTGTCAAGCTCCCTGCCAAGACGAGACCGTCCTCGATCAAGCGGGAAGTAGTTTCTTCAGGGATGAAGTAGACTTAGAGGAAATGAACGAAGAATGAATGAAACAACCGAGTGTATTTGTTGCAACTTGAGAAAGACGATGGCTATTGGATACGGATATTGAATGGGATCCTGTTTTTACCACCAAATCGAACACGGAACCACCACAAAAAAAAACACCTCCTTCTTCATCCTCCCCCTCAACACGTGTTGAGCATGCTCGTCAGCGTCGACTTCTCGGCCGCCGTGACGGACAGGCCCCAATATCCCTTAACGTCGACCCAGCTGATGGCGTAGGTGCAGTGCGCCGCGGCCAGGGGCGGCTTCCAGGCGTTGGGCGCCTTGTCGCCTCTGGCCGCAGCCACGGTCCCGGTGACGACCCACAGCTCGGGGCGCTCCAGGTCGTTGAGGAACAGCTGCCGCCTATCGGCGTCCCAGGCGCTGGCGCCAGACTGGGGCGGGGGAGGGAAGACGGACGCGTCAGCACACAGGAAAATGTATCGCGTTTCGAGAGCGACGAGGGATAAGTAGTGTACTCACGATCCATGCATTCATGAGGGTCACCAGCCGCTCGACCACGACCTTGTCCCGCTGGCTGTAGGACCAGACCGCGCCGTCCCAGGCGCTCGTCCAGGTGCCCGTGGTCAGGGTGCACGTGTTGTCGACCTGGGCGTTGGCTGACGCGTCGCGCCAGAGCACGATTTCTCTGGAAAGGGTGGGCGGGCAAACCAAGGGTTAACTTTTGATTGCTTCTTTTGTCCGAGCGGACATTACTTGGAAGGAAGGATGTAGAAAAAAAAAAGTAGAAAAGGAAAATATAGCGCTCGGTGTGTCGCTCTTACTCGGAATTGCAAGTGTCGGTCCGCAATTGCACGGAGCCGAACTGGTCCAGGCTGTAGCTCTTGCTCGAGTCGCTGGCCGCGACCCTGAGCTGCCTCAACAGGCTCTTGGCCTCGGCGCTGCTGGTGATGCCGTACTTCGAGGAGGTCCGAGTTGTCAGTGCTTTCTTTTTCTGGATCCAAGGGCCTCATTTAGGTATCTTACGGGAACGGCAGCCGCCAGAGCCACGAGTGAGAGCGAAATAAGGGCCGTGAACCTCATCGTAGCAACGGGCCGGGGTAGAGGACCTCTAGGAACGGGTGCCAAAAGATTGGATGCGCTCACGGGACAAGGGCTTTGCAAGACGCGCGATTGTTTTGCAAGGGCAAGCAAACAATCCAAACACCTACGGCAACCAAAGATCCTAGCTGCGAGGGATCGAGGTACTACATCTACCACATATATACACCTCCTCCCCGGGCCGCCATTCCGCCACCACGAGTCCAGCCCGGCCATCGCCGGCTCGAGCCTCGACGGCCCAAAGTCGAGCGCCTCGCCGGCCGAGCTAGTCCAGGACATATCCGACCCGACCCACGCTAGCCAGAGGATTAGAGGCACGTAGCAAGGCGCCTCCCTCCCCCTGGCCTGCAGCGAAGCGAAAGGAACCCGAAGATAAGGCCCCCCCTCCAGCCGCAATACGCTGTTGGTAGACGGGGCAGGGGATAAGTGGGCGCCATCCGTCCGTCCGTCAACTTACACACCGCCAAACCTTGCCACCATGGCGGAACCGAGCACACACAAACACACACACGGCAAGCTGCAGCGTCAGCCCTAGGATAGGTAGGATAGGAATAAACTTCGCCCGGCCCGAATGCTCGGTAAGGGTGGCGCCCCCCGTCCCCCTTTCGCGTCGGCTGTTGGGCAGAAGGGAGGGTGATGGGGTCTGCGCCACTCACACCGAGCTGGACAGGAGAATAAATGTGGGGGGCGGGGTGATGGAGGGTGTGTGGTGCGCTTGCCGATAAGGAGGGCTAAATGCTAGGTACCTAGCTAGGTGCCTGCCTGCCTGCCTGCCTGGACATTCAATCGAGATGCTGCAGGGATCCGAGGCGACGCAGTGAGATTGCGCGGCTGCTCGCTCTGGTGTGTTGACTGTTGGGTGCCCAATTTTGGCAAAAGGCTTGCTGGGGTCTGGGCCATTTTTTT